CCATCTTTGTCTCTCTTAATTAGTTTTGGTTTGAAATCTACTTTGTCTGCAAATAAGATGGCTACCCCTGCTTTTTTCTGGGTTCCTGTCACATAGAGAACTGTTTTCCATCCTTTTACTTTCAGTCTATAAATTTCCTTTTTAGTTAGGTGCGTTTCTTGTATACAGCACATTGCTGGATTTTGGTTCTTAATCCATTCTGTCAGTCTGTTTCTTTTGATTAGTGAATTCAGGCCATTAACATTGATAGTTATAATTGATAGATATTGACTCATACTTGTCATGATGTTTTGTTGTTGTTGGCTCTTTTATTTCTTATTTTTCCCCCTTTCCCTTTAGTTTCTTACCTTGCCTGGTGGCTTCCCTCTGTTGGGCCTTATGGAGTTGTAACCTTCATTGTCTTTTTCTAGGATATTGTTTAGAATCATACACAGTAATTTTAATACATTGTTTTAGACCATGCCTAGGGAGGAGTGTTCAATTTTGAATTCACCTGACCTTCAGAGGTAGGAAATGTTTCTGGTCCTATAATCTCTGTCTGCTACTTGGTTACATGATTGTAATGCAAAAGCAGCCGTAGACAATATGTTAACAAACAGACGTGGCTCTGTTCCAATAAAGCTTTATTTATAAAAACCAGGGCGTTAGATTTGGCTGTCTTGAAAAGTAAACATTGACAAATGTTAGGAGGCCTCAATTAAGATTATTAGTCTGTTTAGAAACCTGAAAATCCTATCATTCAAGGGTTGATTTAATAAATTACTAACATTTAGTCTAGAAAAAAAAGATAAATCCTATAACTGATAAAATTTGCTTTCTGGCACTGAAGTACAAGATTCCACTCATTCCTTTACTTGATAAAATTCATTTTATTTTGATTGTCAGTCACAAAGGAATGCACCAAAATTCTCTTTTCAGTTTTATATTATATCCTGCTTGGGCTCTGGCAGGAACCGAGAGTTCACAGAGTCTGGACGAAGTGACAGGGCTCTGGTCTTCAGATCACTGTGTTCTCACTGGAATGAATGCTGTTGCCTGGGGCGACTGGGTCAGGTCAAGTGCGCTGACTCTGCTGCTCCTGCTATCAGTTCTTACTCACCTGCCAGGTTTGATCCTGCTCCTTTATTCCCAAGGCTTTGTTGCTCAAGGTTTTTACCTGGTGGGCCTGTGCTCTCAGAGCAAGGTTGAGAGAATCCTCTACTTCTCAGTGTTTCTGGAATCAGAAAATATCTGTCTCTTCAGGGGACCCAGGTACCAGCTCCCCATGCTGTTCCTAGCAGCACGGTCCAGTGTGCAGGTTGGGTCTTAGGGGAAGGTCTTCTCCTCGCGATGCTGGACACGGCTGCACAGCTCTCTCTGGACTCCCAGGGGCTCCACACGGGCCCTTCTTGGGGTCTTGAAACAGGCTGTAAGATCTGTGTGGAGAAAGGAGGCATGTATTTATGAAAAGCTAACAATTCAAGAAAGTGTGTGGTAAATTCCAGGTGACTCATGGAAAAGACAAAAACATGGTTTGTGAGTGAGAAAGGACAGGTCACCTTTGGGTGTAGTACACAAGAAGTGTCATGTTTTTATTTTTAAATATTTATTTCCATTCAAGATCTTTGACCTGAGCTATACCCAAATACACATATGTGCATATAAGTGTCTCACATTCACGTCAAAGTCAATTTAATATTTCAAATGGAATTCAGGACCTCCAACCTGTATTCATGTGAGTCATTTCTTCCCCATATTCCCACACTACTGCTCAATGTAGAACTGCCTTCAACGTCTACCTTTTCACCCCACACCCATCCAGTCATTGAAGTCATCGAATCCTGTCTTTCTGCAGAGCGTCTCCCGTGTCTGACACCATGTTACTCGTGTTCCTTGTGCCTCCTCTGGGGCCCCAGTCCAACCCCCACATAGGTAACAGGAAGTCTTTTATCTTGCCTCTTTGCTGTGGTTACATCCTTTCTCTGTTCCCCCACAACGTGCCATGCTGCCAAACAGAGCTTCCAAAAATACCAACCTGACCTCTTTCCTGCCTCAGTGTTGAAGGCCTCCTTCCATTGCTTTTCAACTAACATTCAGGCTTCCTTGTTTGATAGGTCAGGTGATGTCACGATCTGACCCTTGCCTCCATATTATTTCTTACCCATTACTGTTTTTCTTATTATTCTTCACATTTCTTATCTCTGACTATTCTTACCAACCTGTAGAATGGGCTGTGATGTCTTTCCATGCACTGCTTTGCAGTCTCAGCCTGAAATGGTCCTGTCCCCTGACTCTCGTGGAGGGTGACCAACTACTCAGAAGTGAGGCCTTGTCTTCTACTCCCGCCCAGAAGGCAGAGGAAGCACCTCTCCCTGTGTTCTCTAGCAACTTACAAATGTATCTTCTATGGCATTTACCTTATTGGGTACAAGTTTTTCATTCTATTTCCCTAAAGATTATTATTCCCTAATATTAGGATCATTCCCTTTCATCTTGATAGCCTTAAAACCTGGGAAATAATAAGGAGCCATGTATTTTTTTGTATAAATAATCTGAGAGATGAATGGATAAAGTCATGTGGAATGGAAGAAAGCTTTAGCAAAGGCTTTACACTGAGAAAACAGAACTGTCGTCTAGCACGTGTGAAGCCCTGGATCCCATCCCCAACACCACCCCCAAAAAAGCTAAACTCAAAAATCCCCACTAATCCTACTGATCTCCATGTTGTTGAGTCAAGTGGCCAGCTCTCTGATCTGTCAGCTTTCACTGCAGTTCATCACTTCATCTGCCTTGAAATACTGTCACAGCTCAGCTTCCAGGACTGTACTCCCATGATTTTCTGTGACTGGTTTCTTCCCAGTCTTCGTGTTGACTCATTTCCATTCCCCACGAGCCTGTTGGCATCTGATCTACACTCATTGCCTGGTATTCTCATGTTCTCAAGACTTCACGTGCCATTCCTATGCTATCAAGATCGAAGCATCTCTTTCCTGGATATCTTCCCTGAGCCCCAGACTTGTCGGACTGCTCTAGTTGACTGACTCTATAGTAGAAATTTCTAACTTACCATTTCTAAAACTGCCTAAAACTTACCATCCCCGCAATCTGCCTAAACCCTGGTTCACCTGGTCTTTCCCATCGAGCACCTATGGCTCCATCCTTTCAACCGTTCATCCTGGACTCCACTTTGTCTCACTCCTCACAGTCAATCCATCCACAGAGCATTTGGCTCTAACCTGAACTAGCCTTGGCTGTACTTAGAATCCTACCGCTTCTGGCCGTTCCACCACACTGCCCCCGCCCACCATCCCCTCTCCACTGGCCTATTCCATTAGTCTATGGGTTCCATTTTTATATTTGTCCTCCCTGGATAATCACTACCCTGCACTCACAGTTACCTTTCAGTATGAGTCACTGCATTCACATTTGTCACCAGCCTTTCAGGGAGCTCCATCTCACTCAGAGTCAAAGCCTGAGTCTCACACTGAGCTGTTCTCTCCTCCGTTGTTAACTCCCCATCACATCATCTGCTCATTCCCCCTTTCCTTCACTCTTCTTCAGCCACGCTGGCTTTCTAGGATGCCCAGGAGTCAGGAAAGCAACATGGCCCTGCTCTCCTGTCTTCATCTCAACATGCTCTTTTCTTGAAGCCTTGGCTCAAACTCCATCTTCTTGTTGAGCCTTCCCCTGACCATCCTATTAAAAATAAAATTCCTAGGGCTGAGGATTTAGCTCAGTGGTTCTGCTGCCTGCCTCGAAAGCACAAGGTCCCGAGTTCGATCCCCGGTACCAAAAAATAATAAAATAAAATTCCTATATGAATTCTTCCTACTCCCTCCACTACTTAAATTTTCTCCAAAGCACTCACAACCTTTTAATACATTATTTTACCTTACTTAATTATTTTGTTTAAGGCTGTCCTTCTCCCACTGGATGTAGTCCTGTGGGACAGAAATTTTTATGTGTTGTTTCATAGCTATTCCCTAAATAAGCACATAATCTCCCAGTGACAGTGCTGAATGAAGAAAGAATACACACATATTTTTTTGCATTTCTGAGTGTCTGAAAGTACCTGCATTGCAGTAATATTTTATTTCATGTTCATAAAAACCCTATAGCTCCTTGGTGGGCATAGTGGTGAATGCCTGTAATCCCAGCACTCTTGGGGCTTAGGCTGCAAGTTCAAGGCCAGCGTGGGCTATATAATAAGTTCAAGGCCATCCTGAACTACATAACAAGACCCTGTCTTAAAAAAAAACAAAACTAAAAAGTGCTGTAACTTCTATATTCATTTTAAAGATGAAGAAACTAAAATTTCTAAAATTTAAGTCTGTGATGCTTCAAGATTTTCTGTTACCTGAGTCTTAATGACAGCATTCTGGGTGGTGGGGAGATAAAATCTTTCAGGAAACACTATCTTGTATTATGTCGTATGTTTGCTTAACAGAAGTTTGAGAAATGCTGACCACACGTGCAGTGTGCTAGGAGGCCTCTAACCTTCGATATAAACTCCTGCTTGGGGTTTTACAGTTACTCATTCTCGGTTCTTGCACCTTTAAGCCAATACGTTTGGAAAACAAACAAATACAAGTTCTGTGTAACTAGAGTTCATTTAGGGAAGTAGAAAATGATAAAGCTAATGATCAAATTGTGCCATGCTGTAGAGTTTTAGAATGCTTGGTTAAGAACTGAGTTCATCCGTTGGTTCCCAAAACTGTGGTAATTCTTGAAAAAATCTTTCCCATCCATCCACTTCCTGCTGTCGAAGGTGTTTAACAAGACTCAGGTGTTTGTTTAGTAGCCAGTCCTGTGGTCCAGCCACATACCAGGATTTAGGAGCCAAAACTGCTAAAGGTTTGCAGTCTGCATTCGGTTTGTTTGCAATTTATGTCTTGCAGAAGAACATTCCCATTTTGTGCACTATGCAATCGGGTAAATCTGACAGAACGGTTAGTGGGATGTCTTTCAGAGGAATGTGCTCTGCCTTGCCTCACAAGAGTATTTTTCTCCATCTGTTGTAGGTCAATGCACAAACTCGCCCAGTTGGAAAGACTTGACCTAGGCAATAATGAATTCGGAGAGCTGGTAAGCACATGCGTTTTCTAAGCTTGCTAAGAACACTCCGGAGGATTATTTCTTTTGCTCTGTTTTTGTAACCCCAGGTATTAAATCATCACTTACACATCTGCATTTGCTACATATAAAAAAATAAAACCTGGGAGTTAAAGTAATTGAGCATAGAGTGAGCCATAGAGAACTGGGTGTTAGATTTTATTAAAACAAATATTGGGGTGAAGTGGGTGCCTGTGATCAGTTTTGAGCAACAACTTTGTGTCACACACCATGTTAAATGTGTTCCATATGTTATCTCATTTAACCCTGGCTTGATGTTTAATCCTGACTTGATGTGTTGCCATTTTAACTTCATAGAAATGAACTTGAAGTGGCTACTGACCTATGTAGTTACGATGTGCCTGAACAGAATTTAGACTGAGGCTTGACTAACACCAGAGATCCACGACTTGAAGACTTCCTCCTGGGAGGCTTCTGGGTAGCATAGCATGAGAAAAGTGTCGCCAATGACACTGTCATTTCAGCGGTACTGAAAATGTCTTTCTAATGGAAATATATTGCTACCTCACTACCAGCAAGAGTGGAATGCTACTTGCTCTTTCCGAGTTCAGTTTTCATTAAAATCTGTCTGAAGAACAGGTCTCAAGCGCATATTGAAAATAAATGTTCCTTTGTAGTAAGTCCCGGAAGTCTCCTACTTGGATGTCTTGAAACCTCAAAACTCCAATTTATGAAAAGCATACTTTAACTGCTTTTGAATTAAAACATTTAAGGATTGATCAGCTTTTCTCCTCCAGCTGTGTTGCTCACTGTGTGATTCTGTGCACGTTATTTAATATGCTTGCACGCATTGCCAGGCTCTTCTGTCACTGGCAGTCTAGGCAGGGTCTCTGTCCTGTCCTCCCCCTGGCATGAGGGTGGCCTTCACTCCCCCAGTTCCTGCCCCAAAGGTACCTCACCAACCACAGCTCACGAGTGGCCCATGGCCCATCTGCTGGCCCTGAGTCCACTTGAAGGGCAGACCAACCGACAGAGGCCCAGGAGGGTCAGCTCCAGAGCTTGCCCTGTCTGCCACTCCGTGCTGCCAGGTGCACTCTGGATGCAGCCAGTGCTGTTACAGAGCAGCACCCAAGGTGGCCTCTACCCAGGCATTAGGCCGGGAGAACTGCAGGGTGCCATAATATTGATGATGCCCAAGGCAGGCTGTAAAGCGTTAACCCCACAATTGGCTTGTTTTGAGAAGTGAGTCCAGCTGAACCCTACGTGCTGAGGTCAGAGTAACTCGCACCCAAATTCCTTTCCAACAACTAAAACCTCCTGACGAGAAGGACAGTATTGTTATTATAACCATATATTTTGTCTATTCTGTTCCTAATTCAGGAATGCTTTGTCTTATCCTTTATGAGCCTTGCTTACATTAATTTCCATAGAAACTGCACGTAGCTCGCCTTTACCCCAATTGATTGCCAATAAGTCAGTGCCTGGGACCGGCGAGGCCTTTGTCGGTTGCACCGGCATTGGTCATCCCGGCACCATGCTTTCTCTCTTAGTTCTATCTCTTAGTGTATTTTTTTCTCAGGCCTGCATCGCAGACTGGGCAGGTGGGGACTAGAGTCCAAGTCTGTATTCTAGTGCTCCTCTAGTATGTTGGAAGGAGGTATTAATACAGGCAAAGAGCTTGGTGAGGACAGTAAATAACAGATAGTAGTCTGACTGGTCATTTGTTCTGGTAGTTTTAAAATTAGTTAAGGACCTAGGGTCTGCCGGTGTAGGTGTGTGGCTTGGCTTAGGAGTCTGAACAGTACGGACAGTGAAGTCAAACAGGTTTATCTCTCACTTCCGTCACTGCACGGCTGGGCAGCTGTGGGTCTATAGGTCACTTGCTAACCCCAGATATATCATCAATAAAATAAGAGCGTCAGTCCGGTCTGTTTCATAGTTTCTGGGAAATTTTCATACAAGGAAATACAGTTCCCGTACATTGAATGTATGTTTCAATGAATTTCAATTCTGACAGGTATTTGGTAAACATTTCGTGTGGGTGTTCCTGAATTAATATTTCACTGTAAAGATTTGGATCAACAAAGTTAACAGGATACATTTATCTTTTGAAAATATATTTATTGCAACTAAATATGAAATTATAATGTATTCTCCATGGTATCTAAGTAATCCTCATCAGAGCAGAAACAGTATTTTTGATATGACAATATTCTATGTCAATTGCAATATAAGTTTTTTTCTGTCACTTGTTTCTGGCCTTTCCCATAAGATGCTTAGTTGTTTGAAGGGTGTAATTATGGAAGTCTACATTTTTGATGTTATTCATTCTTAATCAGACATCTGAATGTTATTAGTGATGCGTGTGTGGAACTGGCTGCTGTTTGCCATCGAGAACTTTTAATGAGAAAACAAGAGAATTTTCCCTGGTAAAAGGCTTAGAAATGTCCTGTGGAGAAGGGATCAAATTGTATTGTGTAGCTCGACAGTGACTCCTCGAAGGGAATCACCAGATGATCCATTTAGTGTGATACAGTAAAGAAACAAAGTGGAGGGTGAATGACTGGAAAACCCTAGAGAGGATGGAAATTGCACGAGAAGTAATATAAATATCCTAAATTAAGTTTGAAGTAGAACTATCTAGTTATGGATGTCTTTTCGATAATGGAAACTTCTACAAAATGAATTATCATGTTTCTAATAGCAACAACCAGCAAAAGATATTGGGCAGAGTTCTAGAAATGCAGTGGATTCTTAAAGATTTCTGTAACTGTTTTCATGTATTATTTTGCTCAACATAAAATTAATAAGTGACCATTTAAGAAAATTTAGAAAATGAGAACAGCATAAACATGATAATGAAAGTCCTCCATAAACACCCCCCAGCCCCCATATAATCAGTATTAATAGTTCTTGGCCTCCCTTCCTCCACCACTCTTTCTCTTTTATGAGGTCAAGCAAGGATTATTTGAGGTCAGGTCCGAGGCAGGGCACGATTCAGTTGCTGTATAGAGTGGGATGACATCAACCTTAAAGATCCTCTCTGTACCCCGGGGGCACAGTCTTTTAAGTGTCACGGAATAATTCGGAACTTCCCAACTGTTGTACCACAGTTGGGGACACTGAAATAGATTCATTGTCATGGGCTCAGAAGCCCTGTGGTGTAACTTTCAAGTAGACCTGTCCAATGAATTAAGACTCGTTACTGGTCCTGAACTGGTCCTGAACTAAAAAGACCCTGCAAGCAAAGTACCATGAGTGAGAAATATGCAGAAAAATGGAGCAAACTAAGAGTAGAGCTCAGAGGAAGAAGGGATCGATGGGGATGCGAAGATGGAGTGAAGCCACAATGCACTCTCCCTCTAATCCAGCTCAAGCTCCCAGCTCCCAGCCTAGAGGTGCCCTGGTCTCTGCCCCACTCCCGCCCCTCAGAGAGGAACTCCTACACAGAAGATTTGGGGAAGAGATCCGAGGAAGACCCAGACTCTCTAATCCTGTGCTATTCAAGTAGAAAAAGGATCAGAGAAATAAGATTTGAAATTCTACTGTAAATATGGCAGGATGCATATTTGTTATAGATGCCTACATATAGATGCCTACTTGCCAAATTGGATTTATAGTGTGCATTCTGTTTTGCCTCGGTGCATCATTACTGAATTCAAGTAGATTCTTTAGAGGCATTATAATTAATAAGCTTTTTTTGTTTGATGAATTAGGAAGACTGTTGAATGATAACTACAAAATAATGGAGTAAAAACTGAATTTTGGAGAACAATACTTGCTATTTCATTATATCAAATTTGTTACATATAAAATAAGTAAAATGTTTGAGTTACAAAGCATAACGAAATGTACATTGTGAGCCCACCGCAATGCTCGTATGAACTCGCACACTGCCAGCTACCTACAAGCTCTTCCCCAAGCCCCTCATTCTGTCCTGTCCTCAAAGATAACTACAACCCTGAATCCTTACCATTCTCTCTCCTCCTCTTCAGTGGTAACTACAATCTTGGATTTTGTTTAACATTCCTTTGCTATGTTTTTCCCTGTTTATATATTTCGAAGTATGGCATTGCTACACTTTGCTTTTTCTCTAGTTTCTACAAATCTACCTGTGTCCCCACTTATATATCTTTTCTTATCTTCATGTACAATCACTTTGGTCAAGTTCTTTGTTATTACACTATTGTTACAAATATTCCTGTATGTGCACACATGCAAGGTTTTATCTAAGGTGTGTGTGTATATATATGGTGTGCATATATATATATATAGTGTATATATATGGCATGTATGTATGCTATATATATATATCTAAGGTGGAACTTCTTGGTCATAAATTTTACATATATTCCTCTGTAAAAATAATGCTTTTCTTTTTTCAAAAGAGTTGTGCTCATTTGCCAGCAATGTGTAAGAATTCCTATGATTCACATTTTCACCAACGCTTGACACTGTCTATTTTTGCCAATATAATGGCAGTAAAATGGCATTTCATTATGATCTACATTTGCATAACTCAGATTTCTAATGATATTGACCATTTTTCCATATGTTTGTGGCAGTTTTTGTTGCCTCTTCTGTGAAATATGTGCTTACATGTTTTTGCCCAGTTTTCTATTGCTATTTTTACCTTGATAAGATATAGATATTGATACTCTGATGTAATCATCTATATTCTATCTATATTCAAGATACTAATCCTTTGTTGGTTATAGCTATCTTCTTGAGGTCTCTACAGAGTCTTTTTATTTTCTACATAGTATCTTTTCATGAACATAATTTCTTAATTGTAGCATAAAGAAATGCATAATTTTTATGTATCTAGTATATTTTGTGTTTTGCTTTGGAAGTCTCTCAAATGTCAAAAAATATTTTTCCATATGATTTCTTCTACCACAGCTTGAAGATATCATTTTGGCAGTCAAATATATTTCCATCTGGATTTAATTTTTATAGTATATTGATTATTTTTTCTTAATGGATACTCATTTATTAAGTAGTCCCTCTTT